CGAAAGCCACTAGTAGACTTGCCAACGGCTAAAACTCAATACAAATACTGCGATAGAGAATTAAGTGACACATTATTTTGTGTATCACATTCCAGTGTATTTCGCCGGGGAATGTGTGTGACCTCTAGCCTTATCTGTGCCGCCCTTGTAAGATAACCTAGGCACACAACACCTTTATGCCGCCTATACCGGCTAGATTATGCACCTATCTCTTAGTTATATTCACCAGCCTAGCCATTCATTGTGTAGCATTCAGAAAATTGTCAGATGGCGCCGCAAAGATAATGACAGTTAGACGCAGAGCGGCGGAAACGCACCCTGAAGTTATTGACGCTAATAAGAAGCAGAAATTTGCAGAAAATGATGAATGCAACAGAGATAACACCAAATGGTACGAATTTCATGGCGACAGCTCAAAGGATGACGGTGAACCAACATCTGCTCTACAGCATCCCGAACCTGTATACCATTTTAAGGACGGTTTCAGAATAGTGTTGCCGTATAATTTTGTCTACAAGAGTTTTTCCAAAGGTAGATGGTTCGGACGCAGCTTGCGCGATGTACTATCCTCGGAATTTGCAGCATTCACAGATGACTATGTCAGACATGCCTGTGTCAAGGGGCACATCAAGGTATTAGATCTGCAAGGGAACGATCTCTACCCAGAACCGGGTGAACATATATTGGAACATATATGTCGTCCTAACGAGCGTATATGGCATCTTGCTGTGGTCCACGAGCAACTGGCTCTTGATGCAAAAGTACGTGTATTGCAGGAAGATGACGATTATATCGCAGTATCCAAACCATGCAGTATACCTGTATACCACACAGGTACATACCACTTCAACACTTTAGTTGAAGTGCTTAAACACGAAGTGTTAAAGGATAAGGCCATGCAACTCTACCCTGTACATAGGTTGGACAAGCTCACCTCAGGTGTCATCATATTGGCTAAGAACAGCAAGGCTGCTTCTGAATTCTCTGAAGGCATTAGAAACAAGCGAGTCCGTAAAGTTTATCTTGCACGAGTAACGGGCGATTTTAGTCGTGTTTTTAACGATCACGAGTGCATAAACATGAACGATGGCGTAGGATTTGGCAACGGCCTTGTGGCGTGCTGCCACGGGTTCATGAGGGTTGTATCTCACAAGCTAAGTATCCACGAGTTCCTTACAGATGGAACTAAGAAGGATGTCAAAACTGCAGAAACGCGCTTCCGTATGATAGCATATAACAAAGAGCTAAACGAGTCCCTATTAATGTGTTATCCCGTTACAGGGCGGACTCACCAGATTCGAGCTCACCTCAAGTTCTTGGGATTTCCAATATCTAATGATAAATGTTATAATAATGGCGCACTGTCTAGTAGTGTGGAGTATTTCAAGAAACTGCCGGCAGTCCACTGGGAACTGGACGACCGTGGACACTGGCGGTTGCCCGAGCTCAACTTCGTATCACCTAAACCAGCTTTGCTAATCCACGGTAGTCACGATTATCATGTAGGATTAAATAGACCAGTTGAGGGGTTGCACGTCAGTCCAACTGGTATTTTCCTACACGCGTTGCGCTATATATGGGACGATAAACTATCCGTGTCTGATACCACTCCAAATTGGGTTAAAGATTTTAACCTAGGTACGTCCAGCGTTAACTTTGGTGATTTGGACCTCTGGACAGAACACATCGACGTCCAAAATGGCGCGTCATAATCTGTGGTCGAGAAAATCGGGCAGCCCGTTGTTGGCTCATGTGGGAACATCCCACGCGTTCTTTAACTCAGACTATATTTTAGTTGCCACAAAAAAAAGTTATTTAGCACATTCACCATACTTATAGCGTTCGTTATAAACCATGTCTAGCCGTCAAATACGTAAGTTACTGCGCGAGCGGGAGCGGGAACGGGAGAGGAATACGGAGGAGGAGCCTACCTTGGTTACAACTACGATTGTATCTACAACTAGACCGAGGTTTAGCTTCGCTGCTTTTAGGCACGTAATTGACTCATCCGATGATTCTGATGTTGAATATCAGAACGAACCAAGCAGTGACTCGGAGTCCGTTGCTCCCTCCAGCGGAAGTGAAGAAACAGGGCCACCTACACCGCCGGATTCTGAGAATCAACAAAAAGAATGTAACAAGAAGGATGTGAAAACGCCTAAGGATAAAAAGGAGGAAGGAAAGGAATCGGATTTGGTGTGTCAATAATTTACAAAAATCATCTCTTAAAGGATAGCGACTTTGCACTGTTGGATTCATTTGCGGCTGAACACGCTCAGGAGATAAAAACTACGGAAATTGATACGAAGATTCCTTTGGAATGTCTCAAAATAGATCCTCGAGCATTCCGCGTCGCGGGTAAGTGACTTCCTTACGGCTGTGGACGGATATAATACCGGCACATTGCTTTCATATATTAAATACATGTACACCTATGCAAGATAGTTAAAATGTGTCCTTGCTAAGGTGGTATTGTGTGCCATTAATGTGGCTGTGATATTGCTTGATTTCAAGCCTATCATCTTCGCTTAGCACGCTGATCTACTGTTTTTTTCTATTTTTGTGTTGTTTTTAATATGGCAAAATTTGCGCGATATATGGCTCTAGTGATGTGTAACCACTAAGATATCGTCTCAAGTGTGTTGTACCCGTAATGAGGACTTTGCAGGTATCGATACGCGACGTTTTGGCAAATCTAGGCTATACAAAAATTTTGCGGGATCTTTACAGGGGCGTAATTGGTTGACGCCGGGCATTCCGCCCAAAGTGGCTGATCAGTTGCGCTCCGCTGTCTTCCAACATCTGAGAATTAAGGGAACTATGGACAGCAAAAACAAACGAGAGCGATTCATGGTGGAACTCAGTGATCGGTAAGTTCAAAAAAATTATATACGAACTTGTTACAGGTACAAAAATGTGCAGAGTGTCTGCCTCGCGGCAATTGATTCACAGGACCCAGCACTTTTTAGACAGGTATTAGACGCTAATCCGCATCATGTGGAAGTGCTCCTTCGGGCAAGTTCCATACACACCATGCAGGTATGTTTTTTACTCATACTGCCCTCCAAGGCTGTCTTGTTTTGTGGGTCGCAGCACAAGCTAGACCAACACCTTACATGCAGTACTGCAAAAGGCTGCACAACTGCATACTACGTCGTTAAATTGTACATATTTGCGAACAATGGCGAAATAACACTATATTGTTGTTTAGGGGCAACATGAGGAGGCATTCAAGCTTCTACATCTTGCCCTGCAGATATTGCAGGCGGCATTGCCACCAAGGTTCTCGCCCTGGCGTTTAAACGAAAAGGGGCTTTATAACGTGAGCTTATCACAACTAAATTGTGTCATTGCTAATAGGTATGGCTTCCAAGTTCAATCGAAAGCAATCTTATGGTCTACCGACTCTTCGTATTGTATATGATTGCTTTGGAGAGACAGGGACAATGGCAAGTAGCTCTAGCAGTTTGCAAGCTACTGCTTCTCATGGACTTTCCGAGAGATACAGCACATGCACTGCTACATATCGACATGTACCTGCTCAACAATACAAAGATGGGCATGTACGACTTCTCGGTCGAATATGCCAAGGCTTTGGAGTATCAAGTGCCATTGCACTGGATGCTACCAAACTTCGCATTCTCCTTGGCAATGGACTATGCCACTAAAGAGAAATCGGACCATCTGGAGCTGCCACTTTCCAAAAGCGACTTCGATATGGTTCAAGAGTTCCTTATGTTGGGTGAGAATGAACTTGGGTTCAGCTTTACGCCAGGCGAGCAAGAAACTGAAAACTATGGTGCTAAACGTGCACAACTTTATCTTTTGAGAGCTTTGTTGCAATACCCCGAAACCATAGCGCTGTTAAGCCGTGAAGAGTTTGCATCAGCCTTGGTTACATACTCGCAGGCCGAACCCTTCAATTCATGGGTGCGAGGACGTGACACTACAGATGCCATACTAATAAAGTGCTACATCAAGAAGACATGCGACATTTGGCGGAACGACAACCTAAGCCTGCTGCGCAAGACTGCCGGACTTATTGTCGAGATGTATAAAACGGAGCGTGGCGCGCTAATATTAGACTCGTTCCGTGACTTGTGGTTGGCTTTCAAGTTAGAGCTAAATGCACCGAATGTCTCTGATGAGGTTATAGTTGCGGAATTTGATCTAGCGTCGCACAGCCTGCCGATGGCTCTGGAATGATCTTATTCCACAGCTTCGGAAAATACATTGTCAATCTGCTGCAATCTTGATTCTCCGTTGTATATTTCGCAGTGACTTTTGACGGCGAATCGCTGTCTGCAGAAAGTCAAACCTCTCCTGCAGTCAGCTGCGGCGTACCTCCTCAGCTGGAACAGAATGCATTCGTGAGTTTGTTGTAGGGGGATCTATTCGGCAAACATTTTCGTTATTCACGATTATTGGGTTGTTGCAACTACATTTATTCGTCAATTCGACGGTTAGTTGCCCCTGTTTATCTAATTTTCATACGCAATACGCTGGCGGGACTGTGGCCCTTCCATGGTAGGTGCTAATCATCATTTGATGTCTAATTTATCTTTCGTTCGAAAGCAACGTTGTAGACCTTCTACAATGCAGTGGTATGGTGACGTACACTTGCCATACGCTTCACGTCGAAGACTTTTGAGTTGTTCAAGTACGAAGCCGTCTTGTGAACTCCAAAAGAGATGAGGAAGGATTTCTTCTTCGAATTATCATCTCCCCACAAGGGTGAGGAACAATTTCCTTTGCTTATAAAGTTGCCTAGGAGAAGCTTCGAACCGTTTTAAGGGCTGTGCGACCATCGGTAATGAGTTCTCGTCGTGCCGCCCTTTTATCGGTCGCCGAGTCCCCAGGGCAGAAGTCGGACATGGTAAATTCTGTCCATAGAGCGTTGAATCTGCCATTGTTGATTCGCTTTAGCAAGAAATCACAATGTAACACCTTTTAAATGAAGTTATGGTCGCTCTATCAGATTTAAATCGACAATCCAGAAGATGGCTGCATCGCCATCACCAGCGGAAGGTGGCACCAAGAAAAACAGTCTAACTCAATCTCCACAAAATCTTAAAGAAGCAATAGATTGGATTCTAAGAGTGACAGGCAAGGACGTTAGGTTTCCTGCTTTAGCACATGTCACGGTATTCAATAGGTCAGAATGGAGGAAAGACCGATGATAGTAAGTCCTTTAAGTCGATTCTTTCATTCCTACCAGGTGGGCTAAGGGGATTGGCCGAGAAAGTAAAGGATATACGAACAAATGTTCAGAAGGAACAACAGGACGCTAAGAACAATCTGAATGTAGAAGCAGGTAAGAAACTTCAGGAAGAACTGCAAGTTCTTAGTTCAGTGATAAAGGATATAGCTGGTAATAATGGATTTATAGATACGTTCTCTACTGCGTTGGCTGGTTTCTTTGGGTATGATGTGAACAACGGCGGGGTTTTGGATGGAAAGGGCATTGGGTGTAAGGGAAAGGGCGACTGTAATGCGACGGCTGCTACGTCGCGTCGCCGTACGAAACAAACTGCTGTGGAAGCGCCGGAAAAGCGGCAATACACCTCTGCATACGACACTGCTGCTAAATGGCAAGATATCCGCATTACTGTAGATAAGGATCTTTGCGCCCGCATCTTCGTGGGTTGCATCCCATTGATATTCAGTGGTTTATGTTATTTGTATTGGCAATGTAATAGGGGTAATGGCGAAGCTGGCGATGAAAGATGGACTGAAAAGGCATTGAATAAGAAGCAGCATACGATTGACAACCCTACCACCGCCCTCGGTATTTATATGGTGTCAATGGGATATAACAGCCCGCAATTGAACTGTAAGGACGGTAAGGGGGTTGCCAGCTTGCTCAAAACTGTGATAAACGGTAATAATCTTAGCATTGATGATGCTTCCGTCAAAGGACCTTATTCTACGTTTATCCACAAGCTTATGGATAACGCCAAAGAGAACGCGAAGCAACACCGTTCTACCCATCACCGATTTTCTTCCCTTTACCTAGCAAGCAGCACTTATTTTCAAGCTTTACAACAGCATTTGAAGGCGCCTGTTGAAGATAGAGCTTTACCGCGGACAATTCGTGAAATGCTGTACTGTCTAATGGGTGTACCATATACACCACTTTGTAACAATATATATGCTAGATGTTTTGCTGAGGTATGCAGCCAATCGAATACTGTTGTGCTTTACTTCGTCTTAGGAAGAAAGAAAAACATTACATTTGTTGTGAGCGCTGCCACATATTACCTTCTATCATCCTGCTTCTATTCAGGTTTTGTCCTGATGTCCACAGAAGGCAACTTGCACGGTAATAGCACAAAATCGCATCTAAAGACACCACTCTTCCACGATATTTATAGCAATGAGGAGTATAAATTTTATTACCCAGATAAGCTACATGAATGGTTTGCTCTGTTATGGGACGTAGCATACGCTCTCAATCTCCAACTCCGATTCTTGACGGAACAATGCAACTCTTGTGTCGCTATTGGTTGCGTGTGGAAATGGTGTACATATGGAAAGAATGTGAAGTTTAAAGTGAAGTCGTGGTTATGTGAATCCGTTGTTAAATCAGATGACCATTCTGGCGTACCATGTACTGCGAAGAATATTAAGTGCAATGATAGTCACAGAGAATGCGTTACAACCACCAAGCCTTCGCCTCTACAAGCCTTTTTGTGTGATAAACTAGATTGTCTCAAATGTAACAAAACGAATGGTCACGATGAACCTTACACCACACATCGATCACATCGACCACGTTCTCAATGGTGCCCAGTACCAATGGGTTTCAATGAGCACCTCAAGTTGTCTGAATCTCGTACTGGTTACCACCTCTATTGGATACTGGAATATTACGTAGCTGACAAGATCAGCCATGCCAGCATATACAATGACTGGACTTGCGTACACCGTCTAGTCTAGGTGATTTATTCGCCTTTTTCTATGGAATAGTAGCGGCGTATGATAACGGCGGTGGTACTAGTGGTGCTAGTATTAAGGATTCTTTAGAAGAGGCAATCAATGATCATCCTGGTGTGCGTACATACAGTAGTGGCGGTACCGAACTCGCAAAAACAATTGAGAGGCTGCGAGGCAACTATCAATTTACACAGCAGTGAGATAAACATGAGCATCTCTATTGCATCCGAGAATGCTACAATGGTCTACATTGCGGTAGCTACGTCCTATCCCTTTCTTGGACCATATATGTAGTGTTTTCTGTGTTAAGTTTATTGATGTATACCTGTCATGGGTGTTATATTTCGCAGATGAATTTAAACGTTACATGGAATTGCTTGAGGGCGCATTCAAGAAAATTGATTGTGCCAAGGCAGGTTGTGAGAAATGTCAAGGTGGTGGCAAATGCGGCCCTGGTAAGCATGGTACAGTCGACTGTGGTTGCGTCAACGTAGTTCACTGCGCCGGTGTATTGCATGTCTATTCTGAATTCGGCTTCACGTATGATAACATAGTTGCGCTGAATGGCACATTGTGGTCTAAGGAGACAAAAAAGATAAGCCATCAGTATGAGAGGAAATGTAACCATTTCATTAAGCAACTCCAAAAGGTCATTAAAGGTGACCCATTCAACAAGTTCCTAGAAGCGGTTAGTAGCTCTTTCTTTATAATCCGCTATTACTTTATCATATACCTCTTAGCATTTTGGCTGATAGTAATTGCCTATCTCACCTATGGCCTATTAGTACCACTCGACGTACTGCACATTCTGTCGCATTGGAGGTTGGCCATAAGCCACAAAATGCTCCCAAAAAGTCTGTTCGCAGAGAAGATGTCAATTGGTGACATATTCTATTTTAAACCGTAAGAGGTAAGGCACTGCTATCAGTGATGTTTTTATATAATGCGTTCAACGGCACATTAATGTTAATTATTAAAACTTGATGTGACTCCATCAAATTACATCGCACGTTTGTTAGTCCTGAGACGCGTGTACACGACGCTGGATTCTACACACAGCAATGGTAGCGGATTATGCGACTAGAGAATACATTAGGAGCGTATTTACACGGCCCACTGCCACGTTAATGTATATGAGGCTCCTCAAGTTCTTAGGGGGGCAACCACGCCCTATTAATGCATGCGCCCAAGCATGGTGTGGCAAATGGATGCTAACCATATAAAAACATATAATCCGTTTACATAATTTCTTGGCTCGTTTACCCATACTTAGCTGTTAGTCTCAATGTGCTGGTATTTTTCAGCAGTTGCCTGGAAGTACTACGTTCCGCTTACCACGTGTTGCCAGTGTCACCCATAAATCAATTCAGGCATTGTTTGCTGAGGACCCACAAGTTACCTCAATGGTAACATGCGCACTTTGTTCATCAACACACAAATGATGTAGTCATACTACACCGTCGTGCAATCACGGCTCAACGTAAAAAAGGGTGTGTGCGGAGAAAGGCCTCCTTGTTACAGCCATACAAGAGTTAAGGCACATCTACTGTGGTAAACGGAACATCGCATTGTGTGAAGGACATTATGGCAGACATAACACAGCAAAGTGGAGTTCATTGTCGCCTTTTAAATATAGAGGTGTTGACACAGTAGACAAGTGCAGTGGATGAATGTAATGGTACATCCTAGGACTTACCAAGGCATAGAAACTCTAATTGGTTATGTTATGCAACCAAACTGGCGTTGTTTTGTGTGGTTACGCTAGAAAACATCTACAAGTACTACGCCAATGTAGTCATGTCACCTCTACGGGGACAATGGTACAAGCCGAGGCTCACAGCCTTTTGAAAGACTTAGCTCACAGCAATACGAAATAAAACATTGATAGTAGTACGATATGATGGAGGGGCAGCTGTGGAAGGCGAGAAGAATCCTCCTGCTGGTGATGCCCATGTAGCACTCAAGGCCGGAAGTTCCGGCTTCGCCTCTACTGTATCGTCGCTGAAGAAAAGCGAATAGAGTCGAGATATGTGGGGAATTAAGACAACTTAATTATAAAATGAGCGAATGGGGGTGCCCCTGGATGGATTTGAAACAACCTAGTAATGGGCGTGGTAATGAAGAGTTGGGGAGGTGGTCCATTTTTCGATGCCCAAACCATCGGCACCGTTATAGGCATTGTATATTAGTAGAAGGACTTCTTAATCGCTGATATTGAACTAGTAACACGTATTATTTTGACGACCGATATTTTCTACTAGGACGAGAAGCTACGCTAGCATTTTATAGATCACCATCAAATCCCTTCAAGCATCTACATTTTCATCGATACGCGCAGATTGGGCAATAATATCAACAATTGTTGGCGATGAGAAGATGAAAGAAAGACCCAAGATGAGGGAGGGTGTTTTGGGGAGACCCATTGCCCAGCTTGCCATGTTGTTCATTTCGTTGAAGGCGGTTGAAGCAAAGGACGTTGCGGGTCCAGAAAGAGTGACTCTAGGACAGAAGCTCGGGAAATTGTCGGCTGGAGAGAAAATGTTTGCTCTACTTGGGGTATTGGCGGTGCTCTGCCTTTTCATAGCGACTGTGATATCCTCGGTGAATAGTTCCATGTATGATATGGCTGCCAGGGCCTTTGTCTATATCTGCTCAGTTTTCGGTTGCGTTTTCTTGATTGCGTTCTTTGTTTGCGGGTGCTACCTATATCACTCGGATGGGAGCGTGACACAGTGCCAGAAGGGCTGTCTGTTACTGGGAATCCTCTTGTTCACCGGATCGTTGATATTGATTCTCTTGGAAATATCTACCACCATGTCCAGCGGTGTGGCTGACATTAGTAATGTTTCTGATAAGGTAAAATATGCAATGTGCGCCTTTATTGGCCTCTGTTTCATTTTCTTCGTCACGTTCATTTTCACCGCCTGCCGTCAATGCCATTTCAAGCGACGATTCGGCTTGTGCCACATAATGTTTATCGCACTGGCATTGTTGATCGTGTTGTGTTTGTTCGCGACACTTGGATGCATTGCCGGTGGATTACTTAAATTTTCTTCGGTTCAGGGTAGTGGGTCCTTAAATCCATTACCTGCGGTCATAACCCTATACTTTATTTTCATCATTGCACTGCTGTCACTATCTTGTTACATGGGTTTCTATGGAGATCACTTCACTTTCACTGAAATCGCATTTGGAACCCTCGGGATCGTAATTGTCATATGCTTCGTTGCCCTAGTTGTCTTCAGATTGATGGATCCAACTGAATATTCGCCAACCGCGCAGGTGACAAGTCTTCTCATCCTAGAATTCCTTCTCCTCATCCCATTCTTGTACTGCGCCTATCGCTTATGTCTTCTCGACCCTGTCATCGCATTCTTCAAACGTAGTCCCCAAACTGACAAGGCCCACGCCCACAATTTAATTGGTGACGTCACTGACTCATCTGGAAATGCGGTCGAAACGGACAACTAATGGAGATTACAGTCTCGCTAATATATCTTTCATATCGCTTTCTAGCTGTGCAGAAACAAAGGCCATATATAAGATGGTAGATCTGTATCGTCATCCACATACCTTTAGTTGTATTAAACACAAGACGGATACCTTTTGTTGTGTCGTACTTTAAATTATAAAACCTCTTCCATGACCATCCGTGTTGTGGTTTATTATACTGTTGAAATAGGACATTTTAATGTTCGCTTGATTGCTTATTATACTAAAGTGGCGTTAAATCAACTTAATTGTACTATTTTGGCAGCCGTCTATAGGCTTTGTTTGGTTAATACCTTAAACACTAATACCAATGGTGGGTGACAGCGTTGGCGTTGGTATGGATCTGGTATGGGTGTGCGTTTACAATTTGGCCACCAAACGTTAAACCCTCTTATAATGATTTCGTACGTCTGTAGAAGTCCAATTACGCCTCTTTTGTGAGTTATTGCAGCCGTCACCTACAACTTATCAGACACCGCAACGATTAATTTAGAAATTATGGTCGGTGTAGACTATATTATTGGCGAAACTAGTTACTTATCACATTACTAATAATATATTAAAATTTTGTGTTATCATATCTAGTTTATCCACTTCCCCCTAGGATGGAAGATGAGAGAACCCGGGTGGTAGTTACGTTGAATAATCAAATGGGAGAAGTAGCCTTTATGTTGAATTGCACATGCTCTTTAAGCGGATTTATCTTATCGCCTTTTATAGCAATAATTACTTTGAACAGTTTTTTGGTAGTAATAGTGTAAAAGTAACAAGGCCCATCACGGCAAGAAGATTCGAACAGGAGTGCAGCAGTGCTCATGGAATTCTACAAATACAAACCGTACGTTCCACCAATTAGTCATCTAAGCAGTAAAATTTGTGAGTTCAGTGAATTATTGGTGTTACATATCGAGTATTAGACTAGGGTTTGAAATTGATAACCGAGTTCCTTTGGTACAGTATTATCTTAGTGTTTCATTTCTTCAAATGTCCCCTAGACATTAAGGCTAGTTTTGGTCGACCCATGGAGAGGTAAATCTACGTTTCCAAGCACTGTGACGTCCTGACTTGTTCGTCCATGTGGAACTTTCATCTTGGTCTTCATTATAATAATTGAGCGACGTTGAGTGGTAGGGAGCCGTAGGGTAAGCATGGCTGACATACGGATAACTACCCATGACCAAATAGTTAGGCTGTAGATAAGGATTGTGCACAGTGTGTACCATCTGAGGCCCAGAAGAGTATTCACCGTTCTGCAACAAATCTGCTCCGTTTGGAGGTTCCCTGTTTCTGGAAAACCATCTGCCGAACCATCCGGAGGTGTTTGGCCTCGTTGTAGCGGACATAGACAGCGCACAATTGCTCCCAAGGAAAAGTGCCAGAAAAGTGACCAAAACAATTCCTACAGTACGCGCATCAAGTTGCGATACGAACTTGTTGATGACTCCTCCCAGTACTTCAGCGGAGAGGAAAGACGCGTCGTCGTATAGAATGGCATCCTTATACATGCAAGCTTCCCATTCGCGGCATTGCTGCTCCAGAGCTGGGACACTGACAGTTCTGCACTTGTTTTTCCTGTATAGTTCTTGACACAACATTGCTTCTGCCTTCACCATCTGCCTCCTCTTTTCCAGTCCGTTTCCGATATCGCGTCCAATTGCGATTATAAATATCAGTCCGAGGTAGAGCAGTACCGATGTCACCGCTACGTTGAAGAATGCCCGGACCCAGCCGTTAAACACTTCTGGTGTCATGATCCGTCTCTCCGCACTGTTAATATTTTGAGCATTCGCAGCATTGTAAAAATCGAATGGATTCATTTGGGCAGGGTCGATCCTGCCTAGACCTATTATGCTGTGTTCCGGGTAATACCTGCGTAGATGGTGGTCATGTCTATGACGGTACTCATTGCACTGGTCTTTTCGTCTCCTGTTAGATGAAGACGAGAGATTGGACATTGATCCGCTTACTGAGTCTGGTTTGGAAGCTGCCGTTCTTGCGCTTACGATATGTTGCAGTGCATCATTAACATCTTCAAATTCACAGGGAGTTGAACAATCCGCATCTAGATCGATAACCTTGTTATAAACAGGTTTTCCCTTTACGATAGATTTTAATGTAGCCTTCGCCCCTTTTCCTCTAAAGAAATTAAGTAAAAATCCTGTTTGAGGTTTTTCTGGACTGTCGTGTGTAATCTTTTTTACATTGGTGATCTCCTCGGCAGAATCTTGTATCGGGTTACTATTGTCTCCATTACTTCCGTTGGTATTAGACAGATTTTCATGGCCTTCCGTCCCGTCGCGTCCTCCCGAGTTCCTTGATATATCAAAATCTTCGTATGTTGCCATATTTCCAACACTTCCATTATCTTGGTTATTTCCACCCATATTTGCTGTTGTGCTGTGTGCAGAATCCGTTGGTTGCCCGGTCATATTGTAATTAGCAAACATTGCCTCTTCACGGTCACCCTTCACACGTATATTCGTGCCCATAAATAGTATGTCATCATCTGTGACATCCACTTCGTTATCTATACCGGAATGATTGCGATACTTGTTGTTGCAGTCATCACCATTTGGCGATTTGGCTGAACGCTTGGAAGCTAGAGTTAGCGCGCTAATATCTGGTAAAGTATCGCCCATATCGGCGTTCCATTCCTCTCTCTGGTTGTAACCCATCCGTATGAGAAGTATTTATTGTGTTTTAGCGCTGCTGCTGCATTATAGGGTGATACTACGCGTGCCTGTGCCCTTTCTGTGAGGCCGTGGAAATTGACGCGCTGCTGCTGAGACACCACAAGCAGCAAGAAGAATTGCAAAAATTGGAAGACACATGATATCTGTCTGAATATCTCATTTTAACCTATTTAGGTGTAAGCAGCTTGCGCTGTATTGGTATCGCGTGGATGTCGTCGTACTACGATAAATGCGATATACACATCCTTCGCAGATTTGGACATCAGAATCTATACATATTTGTACCGCAGTTTCCACTTAGCAGTATGGAATAAATCTTTAGTGACGGCCCAAACCGTTAGAATACTCGGCGACAGAGTGAGTGCGAATCTTAGCGTTAACGACGTAAAACACCTTTACAATTATAGTAACGATTGAGACATGCGTTCGACCACAAATAATATTGAAAATACGTAATATACGCCAGATCGTGTGTACCCAGAAATCTCGAGTCAGGAGGTGTGGCCACCCACGTATGAAGCACACGTACTGCGAGTTTTACTTTCCATACACTCCCACCATTTGAGTGGCATAAATAGGGCCATTACGGTGTTTCCGATGGTACAGTAATAATTAGTCCGTTGTAGGTGTTTCTTCACCTTGGAATCGAGTGTTCCTGCAATTGTATTTCGCCTTTTTTGTTAAACCTATTTATTTAAGGCAAAATGGATGACAACGCTACGGAATTATTGTCAATCGATACGACCTTCAGGGATGAGCCCATTCTGGAGAATTTGTCGGATGTTGCCGACAAGACGCTGGATAACGCGGAATCTATGTTGAAAGTAGGTCTAA